TGTGTTTACGGAGACCAAGATGAAGTGTCTGACATCTTTCCCTCCTGCCCCCCCTTTCAGCCAGAGACAGGAGATTAATGACCCCTCCCTTGGTTAATTGACCCCCCTCCCCCAATCTGAGTGGATCAAAGACTGAAACCGAATCCTCCTTTTTGCAGGGGGAGAAATACAGAAAGCTTTGGCTCAAAAAGAGTAAGGGAAGCAGAAAGGGTCACTTTCCCCCTTCCAGAAATTAAGGAGTGGGGAGGTAAATATTAATTCCCCCCTCATTTGTGGAAGGCATTAAAGAGGCCACAGTCCTTTTCCCTCTGTGCCTTTCTTTTTGAAATGTGGGGAAAATAACCATTTTTGCAGGGCCTCAAGGTTGTTTGTGGGTTTTTCTATCTCCCTCTCACAGCTGTTGAGAGGGACTTTGGTCAAAGTTGTTTTTTTAAAGCAGGGGGAGAGGAGTTGCTAAAGATGATGATAAAAAGCAATTGATGCCCTTTTTTCTGCTGCCGCTGTCGCCTCAAGCTTTTTTGCACTAATCCCACACTTGCATCCAGGCTTGGACTCCCCGCGGCTTAAACTAACCCAGCAGGGCTTCGAGCTTCAGGTTTCCTGTTCTGACCTGTTTTCCACCAAAGAACTTGGCAACCGTTTTCGCTTGGACTGTTTTCTCTTTGCAACCTCCCTGCTGGGTGGGCTGGACACAGTGATGGTCACAGCAAAGTGAAAGGATTTGAAAGTGGCTTCCCATGGTCCAAGTCCAAACACAGCAGTCGGACTCTCTCGTCCAGAAGAAATGAAGAATTGCTGGAAGAAAATGATAGTGGAACTCTGAATAATCTCGCTTCTTGCTGCCTGGGGGTGATGGGAGCTTGTTTATTTATTAGATTTATATCTTGCTTTGTTCCTGCAAGGAAACCAGGACAGCTTACATAATTCTCCAGCTGTTTATTTTATGCTCAGGGTGGCCCTGTGAGGTAGGTTAAGCTGAAAGTCGGCAGGGCCTCAAGCTGAGTGAGGATTAGAACCTGGATCGCCTAAGTTCCAATCCAAGCTCTGACCACTAGCCTGGCCTGGCATAGGAATTGTAGTGCAACACACCTGGGTGGGCACTCAGCTGGGGAAGGAGGAAGGAGAGATTTGTGGGCTGCTCTCCCCTAAGACGGGGTCCAAGGGCAGAAGGAGATCCTGGAGAAGCTTTTGGGAGCTGCTGTCCGGCGTTGAGTGGGGCAGAAAGCCAAAGAGGCAGGGCCAAAAATACCCATATATTTTAGCTTAAAGTTCTTCCTGCTAGTACTGGAACCTTTTGGAATGGGAAGGGGGAACTGCAAAAAAACAGTGAGCGGGGTGTATATGTTGGCAGGAAGGCAGCAATCCACCTGTGGCCACAGGTTCTGAGTTATTGGTACCGAGGACTGGAGCCAACCTCTCCTTCCCCAAGGCTTTGGAGAGCTTCTTCCGGTCAGAGTAGACCCCGTTGGTCTGGCCAGGTGTAAGGAAGGATCAGGGCAAACCAGGCCTCACTCATCTGCTGCCGTTGCAGGCACAGGTCACATGGAACATGGGCAAAAGCCCTGGATGACTTCCTCGTGTCTGTCAGGGTCTGACAAGGACGTGTGTGTTCTGCGTTTCTTATAGTGTGACGGAGATGCAAGTTTTCCCTCTTACTGCTGGAGGTGGAGTCTCCACCTCACACCAGCATGTGCATCCTCGGAGCATTTGGTCAACAGCTTCCCCCTGCAAGCTGGCTGGGGACGATGGGAGCTGCAGTCCAGCAAACTGGGAGGGGACCAAATTGGGAAAGTGTGTGACTGGCGTTTTTTGCCTTCTCAGTCTTGCACTGTGTGCGAGACGGAACTGTTTCCTTTAATGTCAATTTAGCAAATGACATTTACCTGTTAAGACCTTTATTCTGAGGGGTGTTTGTGAGGGCCAAAGCTCATTTTCTTTGCCCCCTGCCTATTATCCACCTCCTGTTTGAACCTCTGTCAGCCGCTTTCTCCAAGGCAGGTTCTGCATAGCTTTTGATCTGGTTCTCCGTGCCCTGACGGCCTCCCTGCCCCACCTGGCTCAGCTTTCCCAACCTGCAACCCTTCAGGTGTTGTGATCAACAACTCCCAGCACCTCTGAAAGCTCAGGCTGATTGGAGTTGGCCCAAAAAGACCGAAGGGCCAAAGGTTGCCAAACTGTGTTCCACGCTAGGGTGCCTGAACCATTTCAACTTCAGAGCCAAATCTGTGTGTGTGGGCAGGCTTCAAGCCTACACGGGAAGGCGCATGCCACAGAACCGACTGGGGTGTTTCAGCTTAAAGCTCTTGCTGTGAGGTAGTCATAGTCACTATTTAACTGGGCTTTAGGGGAGATACTTAGAGTGTCGGGGCCCAGGTACGAGGCCTCCTGGCCTTGTGGAAAACACTAACCCAAATTAGGATCTCTGTGCTGTGTGGATCCGCTGGGACTGCTCTCCGGGGTTTGGAATGTGGGTCTGTCCAACTGAACTTTGGCACTGAGTCTAGGCTGGAGCTGGGACCTTTGGCATGTCTGGCACAGCCTTGGCCACCACACCACAGCTGTTCCCGAACCACCTCGCTTGGGCTGCACAGCACACCTTGTTTTTAATGCTTTACCAGGCCTGCACCAAAAAAAAGTGCTTTGAGCCTCTGTCTGAGGCTGGTGTGTTGCGCTGGACTTCATGGAATGTAAGTAACCCTAGCCTAATTTCCTCTGGGAATAGAGAGCCGCTTGAGTCATGTGTGTTTTGCAAAGGTAATACGCTTCTGTTCTGTGAAGTTGCCTTGTGTCGAACTCAAAATTAGATCCAGGCAGCATGTACTAAATTTACCTTGCTGGCTCTAAAGAGAAGCAGTTTCTTCCCAGTGCTTGGGCTGAATGTCATGACTACCTGCTTAAATGTGCTGGATCAGGGGGCTTTTGTCATGGGTATCATTATACTGTTAATATCCTACCTTTTTTTCTTGGGAATAGCCCAAGGCTCCTTCTATAGGCCTCCTCCGCTTCATTGGTGTGGTGTGGTGGTTAGAGCATGGGACTGGGACTCAGGCGATCCGGGTTCGAGTCCCTGCTCAGCCATGGAGCCAACTGGGTGACTTAGGGCCAGGCACAGACTCTCAGCCCAACCTACCTCACAGGGTTGTTGTTGTGGGGAGAAGATGGAGGAGGAGATGTAAGCTGCCTTGAGCCCTTTGCAGGAAAAAGGCAGGATATAAATCCAAAAATAAATAAATAAATTTTATCCTCTCCACAGCAACCCTGCAAGGTAGGTTAGGCTGAGAGGGAAGGACTGGCCCTGTTGGCTCCATGGCTGGGTACAGCGCAAATCTCCCAGTATGACCCAGTAACCACCACACCATACTGGCTCTTGGGGTGAAACATCCAAGGAAAGTGGACTCCTCGGTTTTATTCCTTCTCACTTTCCTTCTTGGCAATCAGGTCATATGTGAAGAGCACCACAGTTTGGGAATTGATTGAAACTGCTCTTACCTTCTTGCATAAAAGGTAATTTTAATAAAAATCACCATAGAACAGGTGAACAATTTCCACGCATCTCTTCTCCCTGAATTTATCCGATCCCCTGGGAAATCTGTCCAAATTGCTGGCCATCACAGCTGCGTGTGGAACTGGACTCCATATTTAACTCCACGCTGTGTGAAGGAAGGCCTTTCCCTTCGCTCTTTCCTAACTCTCAGCTTCATGTGAACGACCCCTAGTATAATGGGACCCCTAATGTCTAGTATTATGGGAGAGGTGGAAAAACCAGAGAGAATGAGAGAGAGAGAGACCTTTTTCCCATTGTGCTCGATTTCGCATACCTCAGTCATGTCTGCCCCTTACTCTCTCGTTTTTCCTTAAAGGGAAAAGAAAGCCTGCATCTATTCTTTGCAGCCCTGCCTTGAAAATGCTAAGAGCTGGAAACATGTTTTCCATTTCAGGGTCTTCCCAATTCTTTGTCCCTTATGCAAACAAAAGCCCAGGGCAGAAGCTTTGTTAAATTCTGCTGTTCTTTCTCTCATTACCAGCCAAGCAGCTTCCTGCTCGGCCTGGTCAAATTCTTGGGACCCGGTCAAGTTTGCAGACCGTGGTCTTTCAAATGCTGGAGCCTGGGTCCCCTGGAGGTAGGGTGGGGGTTTTGGAACAAACTAGAAGGTGCTATCCTTATTTTTCCAGGCAGCTTTGCTTTAGAAACATGCCTTGGATTTCTCATGCCTGTTTCAATATGTGCTTTAAAGCTCAGTTTTCCTTGGCCCTGTTGTTTGGCAGGCAGGAATGTCTCATGTTTCTCGAGGACTGCTTGCCTACTCAATATATTCTTATTTTCTTATATATCTTATATTTATTTTTCGGTGCCTGGCCAAGACCTTTTTATTTAAACGCTAATGGTTTATTTGTTGGTTTAAATTGACCAGGCTGGATCCACTATTTTATTTTATTTTTGTATTTTATATGGGATTTTAATAACTGTAAGCCGCCCCGAGGCTCATGCGATGGGGCGGCATGTAAGTTGTTTAAATAAATAAATAAAATATATGGTTCCCTGTTACAATTTCAAAAGCAAACCACTGCTTTGATTTTTTCTCTTGCTGCTTGACAAAGAGAAGCTACAAGTTGCTAGCTAATGACATGGGGAGAGAGCCAACATTCAGCTCCAGGGCCAAGGTAATTTATTTTTACTCAAATAATCGTGCCACTGTCAATAGCAAGAAGCATGTTGACTTTTTAGAACAGAAATGGTGCAAAAAAAAAAAAAAAAGCTGGAAAGCACCCTTTCCCCCAGCCACAAATTCTTTCGTGGTTTCTGGCTTCTTGCACTATTTTATTTATTTAGTTATTTATTTAAAACATTTCTATGCCACCCCCATCGCAACAAAGCCTCGGGGCGGCTCACAAAAAATACAAAAAAACCCCCCCATATATAAACAATAACAGTATAACAATTTAAAAGAAAAAAAAAACATTTAAAACCCCCGGTGCATTCTCGGCTAATTTAAAATCCTAATAAATACAATAATTTAGCAATTAAAATAAGTTTTAAATAAAAAGGTCTTAGCCTGGCGCCGAAAAACAAATAATGACAAATAAAACAAAACAAAACAAAACAAATATTTTACTTATTCCAGGTCACCATGCCTGGTTCTTGGGGGTAAAGCTCGTATTTTGAATCCGTTTCTTTTGTCTTTGGTCCTTACCCTGTGCTGGAATGTAGTTCTCCCACCAACCCAAACAAAAAACCTTCCAAATATGAATTCATCCCTTGGTCTGAAAGATAGCCCTTCTCCTGCTTTAAGTATTTGCTGCCGTAATTATTTGAAAATGTGTTTTATGGTTAACCAGCTGACTTTAAAATTGGTCATACTTTAAAGGCACTGTTATGATTTGAAGCTGGATAGTATGTTCTGTCTTGCTCTATTCATACGTTTTTATGTTTAGATCTTAACCTACCCTGGTCATTATTCAATCCTGAGAAGGAGAAGAATAAAGCTCCTAGCATTTTCACTCCTTAGCAAGCATTCCTGTGCAATAAGGTTCCTCCAGCATTTCCTGGGTGGCCAAAGAAAAAAGTTCCTATGTCTTCCAGCTTTAAAGAGAAGCAATCTTTTGCTGGCTAGGAAAAAAAAGAATTATATTTTAAATGGCTTTGGTAAATTAATAAAAAGCCCCTTCCTGTTGACAGTGATTTGGCATTACTGTTTTTTCCTCACCTCTTGTGGAAGCCTCAGGACGGTGCCCGGACTGTGCAAAATTTTCTCCACCTTTGTGTAGCGTACTAAAAAAAAAATTTAGCAGCAGGACTAATTCTGTCCTGTTGCAAAACCTGTCCCTTGTTCCTGGAGGTCTTGCTTCCTAACCTGTTGCCCTCTGGTTGGAGAGGAAGGTTCTGCTGACTACCATCGCCTGACCGGTCTTGTTGGTGACTTGCTGCCCCAGGCGGGATGTAAACCTGCAAGCTGTCAAAGAGGGGCAGTTAATTCTCCCTTGGAAACAAGCCCACTGGGAAGTTATTAGCCTGCTTTAAAAACCCAACCAGAATAATATTTACTGTTTGGCTGGTGGCTGAACAAGCAGGGACAGGGGGAATCTGTTTAAATTATTGTTTGTTTCCATATGGGTCCATAGCCGAAGCTCTCTGGATGGTTGAAAATAGGATACGAATACAACATAAAAATAACAGGAAAACGTCCTAAATATTATATTGCAGGATTTAAAGACTGAATTTGACAAGTTTAATAATGAACACAAATTAAGATGGGAGACTGCTAGCCTAATATCCCAATGTAATATTAGGGCTGGTTAAATGCCCTGCCATAAAGGGTGGGCATTAGCTGGCTCTGGAATGAGGATACCTGCCTGATGTTTGCATCAGGGGGGTGTCACTGGGGAGCTTGTTCCATTGTCCCTCTTGCGAAAAACCAGTTATATTCCTGGGCTTGCCAGCCTGCTGTTCCTTCTTGCCTGTGGTTACCTAGCAAGTGTTCCAGTGCAAGGACGGGCTGTTCCTTTACCTTTTGCAGGGAGATACACATCCCATCACTGATCTGTGGCAAGCTGGGTGGAGAATTACACATGTAAAAGAGCTTATTCCAGGGTGCCGTTCTGCCCCACTTCACACACTAGAATGGAAGCTGCAGGGGGGCAGATTTCGGCTAATTTTTTTTTTTTCCGATTTATATCCTGCCTTTTTCCTGCAAAGGGCTCAAGGCAGCTTACATCTCCTCCTCCATCTTATCCCCACAACAACAACCCTGTGAGGTAGGTTGGGCTGAGAGTCTGTGACTGGCCCAAAGTCACCCAGTTGGCTCCGTGGCCGAGCGGGGACTCGAACCCGGATCGCCTGAGTCCCAGTCCCAGGCTCTTAACCACTGCACCACACTGGCTCTCAAAATCTGAGAGAACATGTTAATATGATACAAGCAAAGAATCCCACACTTCTTTCCAACATTAGCATTTTTTTATACTGCCCATAGCCAAAGCTCTCTAGGCAGTTGACAGCAATAATCACAGAATCATACACTCAGGTCACCCATTCCACTTCTGCCCAGGCCTGATCCTGCTTAGCTTCCAAGATTAGGCAGGATCAGGCACTTCAGGCTACATGGAAGAGAAACAGTCCTCCTTGTGCAAGGGGCTTTTCCAGTTCCACGATCCAGTGATTTCTGCACCAAGTTTCCATTGGTGGGTCAGGTCATAGGACCTGAGGGAAAAAACCAAACTCTGAGCAAAAAGCACAATTGATTGTGCATGGCTGAAGCACGCCCAGCTTGCTGCAGGTGGTTGCAACGTAAGACTGGAAGACGCTTGGTGAATTTCCTCCCCGGAAGAGCAGCAAGCGGCATGTTGTTCTGGATCAGGCTCATCTGTCCCCTCCTCCTGCCCTGCCCTCTTTCACCGTTCGCCTCAGTTGTTAAGTTGACCCTTGCTCCCGGTGCGGGGCTGTGGCACCGAAAACCGTCTGGCCTGGACGAACTGCACTTCCGGTGTAGAGACACTGAAGGCAGGTAGTTCAGATTTACCTTGGCCAGGATAGAAGGGCTAGGTCTCCCAGTCCTTCCAGTGTCTGTATTGGGCAGGCATCTTGGGATCTGTGCTAAACTGCCTTTGGCACCCCCTGCAAAGGGACACTCCTTGCTTTGTGTCGTAAAATCCCTGGTAGAAGGATGTTTTCTTCATCCCTCGCATTGAACCAACCTCCGAGCCCTCTCTTTGCATGGCAGGGCCTTTCTCATATAGTGGAAACCCACCGCTTTGCTGTCCAGCATAATTCTTGGTAGCTATTTGCCATTCTTGGTTGCCATTTTAAACTTTTTAATATTTTCTGTTTTTATAATATTTTATTGTTTTGTTATGGTTTGTTGTAAGCTGCCCAGAGAGCTCCTGCTGACGGATGATGTAGAAATGAAATTAGTAGTAGTAATAATTTAAATTAGGGTAGGACAGAATTGTCCTAGAGTAAATGAAGATTGAACTGGATTCAGAGCAGTTAGCAGTGCATACCTGTGTGGGGTAGAGAGGGAGGGGGTCCCAAACAGCTACTGTTGAATAAGAGATTGCTAGTGTCATTCTGAGGGGGGGTATCCTATTGCATTGTAGCATTTGAAGCTCCCAAATTTTAAAATGCATGCAGCCAGCCTCTTTAAGACCCTGTTCAGATTTGATATTTCGGCCCACCCTAAAGATTAAATGGAGCATTCCCTCTGTTGGCTTTTGTCCTTTTTCTTCTAAAAAGCCAACCTTGTTCTGCTTAATCCCTTTGGCATGACCTCCAAGGAAGAACTTCTCAGGGCTCTAAGGCTGGGTCTGGATTCTGCCAAGTCTTCTAGGCTTTCACCCCAGACCCCGGACCCTGACATGTGGCTCAGGCGAAAATGATGATCAGCACTATTATTTTAAAAAGCATTCCTCTTTTGCACCTAGCAAGTTGAGTTTGGGGTGGCGGGGGGAGTGTGCCTCTCTCTGGGGCAGGTGGCCGCGTTGTCATAAGCACCTTAAAACCGAAAACCACAGGAGTCCTGTGTTTTAAGATTAAATCTCCACTCGCAGCCTATGCAGAGAATTAAATGGATGCAAAGCAGCATAGCAACTGTTGGTTTGCTGCTACCAGAAGTGCGCACTTTCTTAGCTCTCGCCTGCGTCTCTTAGGGCGTTCTCTTCTGTATTTAAAAGTGGACCAGATGCCAAAACGCAGTGGGTAGGAGGGGAAAGCTTATTGTGATCCATGGGGTTTATTTATTTAAGAAGCTTCTATGCCGCCCCATTCACCGAAGCCTCTGGGTGGCTCACATCGATAAATCAATAATCACAATGTAAAAACAATATAATTTGAGTCGACCTGGCCGGGATGGGCTGGGAAATAAAAGCCTGCAGACCTGAGGAAGGTGGACTCTTTAAGGGCTGCAAAAATCAAGCGTTCCTGAGCCCGGGCTTGGTGGATCGCAAGAGAAGATACTCTCAGGCCAGTATATATTTTGCTATCCCTGGATTCTCCTGCTGTCAGTTTGTGGCAGAGGGTAAAAGGGGAAGCAGGGTGTCCCCGTCAGTGGGAGACCAGCCATCCTTGGCATCAGCTCTCTCAGCACGCCTTGCAAGGTAGCTGAAGGAAAGCAAAGCTCGAGTGGCTGATTCTGTTTTCTTTCTGCTCACCTGGAGTGGGTTTTTACTCGGCATAGGCGACCAAGCGAGCAGCACAGGGCCAGCGACCCGTACGGGTCCCAGTGTTTTATTCCTGCCCTTGAGCTTGATGCCCGGCCCTCTCCAAAGAGCTCACGCATTCCGCAGGAGAGAATGCAATACTGGCGAGCTGGCAGCCTCTCATTCTATACCCTGCGTGGCCAGAAATAAACTTAGGATGGAAAGGGGATAAAGGATCAGGAGAGTGTGGGAGGGGTGGGGAGAGGAAGAGCACATGTCTCTAGTCCAGTGCCTTTTTCTTGCAAAGCAGTGTGCAAAATTACGCACCATTCTCTCCGTTGTGCCAGCTTCCCTGCTGCAAGGCCTGTGTCTTTTTATAAGCTGGCATTTGTGAGCGGTGGTAGCTGCTTGAAGTAAACACCAAATGTTGTCCTTTCCCCGTTTCAGGCTGGGAGAACCCAGCAAGGCAGCCTCCGACACGTGGCCATGTGCAGCACCCGGATCTCTTCCAGCCGAGGACGGCCAAGAGAGGCCGTGAATTTTAACATTCCAATCTAGGAGTTGCTCGGTGGAAGGAACCTGAAGCTGATGGATGAAATCCCATTTTAATCTCTTGACTGTGTTCCCTTGCTGCTTCAGGAGGCCTGACGCTTTTCTTGGCTAGCCCCCGAACCTGGTATGGGTAATGGTGGAGCGACGGACGGTCAAGTGAGTTTGAAGCAGAAAGATGTGGAGGTTGGACTGCACAGACGTGTTTTGCCGGAGGTGAGTGGCGTCAACCGGGGGCTGCAAAGGCTGCTACCCACCAAAACTCGCTGGCTCCTATTTTCCTTGAGTCTGTGCCTCCAGACTTAATCCCTGACCCACAACTTCACCCCTGACCCACAACTGCAACTGTGTTTGCAGGGGCTCTCATGAAATGGCCTCTATTTTGCACCCTTCCAGTTCTGAAAATTGCGAGCGGGCGTGGAGGCTGGCTGGGGGATACCAGGGGACACCTGGCCCATGTGGTAGATCCCAGCGATGGATGGTGGGAAATGCAGTGTTTCTCCTCACTGTTCTGGAGCTGTAGAAGTGTTGTCCCCAAACAACTTTGCAGATGGTTTTCTGTGTGCCTATCCCCATGTTGTTTGTGAATACGGTGGTGCTCACGAACGCCACAGTTCACGAGCAAATCGGGTCGTGAACAGAAATTTCAGGAAAAAATTGCCTCAGGACGGGAGATGGCAGTCGTGGCCATCTCCCCCACCCCACACCAGCACGATCGCGATCGGGGCCATTCCCCCCTCCCAGCACGATTACAATCACAGCCATCTCCCCCCCCCCAAAAACTATTGTTATTGCGCAATTATCGTTTGGACTCTCCCTCCAAACAACAACCTCCACCCCCACCTTGCTTAGTGTTTTCTACTGTACTAAGTTTGTTGTTCTGTCTTACTTTGTTTCAAATGTTTGTGTTGAAAAAATATTTACAGAACGGATTAACCTTATTTACATTGACCCTTAGGGGGAAATTTGACTTGGCTCACGACCAGTTTGGGTCACAACCAGAGTTGTGAAATGGATTATGTTCACGAACCGAGGTACCACTGTATATATTAAAGCTTAGAAAGGAAGGCTTGAGTCATTTATTTTGTTTCAAATGTTTCCTTTTCTGATGACTTGGAGCAGATACTTACTCGCCACAGGCGATCAGGCAACGAGTTTATGGCCAGGCAACCATGTTGACTTCTTTTCCAGGGTGCCCAAGAGAGGAGGAGTGTGATCAACTCCTTGGCATCTGGGGCACTGGCTGGCGCCGTGGCCAAAACTGCCGTGGCACCGTTGGACAGGACAAAAATCATATTCCAAGGTATTTTGGGGTCAGGATGTGGAGAAGGAGGGAGGCCTTCTCATTTTTCTCCATATATCTTTTGCTTTTGAAGAAAAGGACATTAGTGTGACCTGTATAAACTGTAAACTACACCTGCCATTTATACAGAGGACTAAACAACCGCATAGCCTGACTACTGGAACCTCTGCCGCCATAAGGACTAGAAACTTGGTAGTTTGTTAATGAAAGGAGAAGTCCTCAGTAAAGCAGAGATCTGCTGGGAAACGTGATGGCAGCTGCATTTGTGCAAAGGATAAAGCTGCCGTTCTCCCAAAATTTGGCTGGTCGTCCCATGACTTGCCCAATTGCCCTTGTGTGTGGCAGTACCAGAACTAATGGGGTATACATCAGAATGGAAGAGCTGGTCTGAACCCTGGCTTGTTGCTCCTCCAACAAGCCTGGATCTGGAAACCGACTTCGAACCCTGGTTTGTGAGAGGTGGGCTGAAAGCCAGGGTCTGGCGTCCAGTAAATGCTGCTGGCTGGGTTTGCGGGAGGTGTCCAGTGAGAGAGATTATGTGACATCCCTGAGCACACATGCTTCTCAACGTGACTGGTGGACGTGCTCGAGCCCCGTACAATTCTCCACCGTGCCATCACGGACATCTGGCTAGCTAATATTTCTGTGGTCTTCCCTCCACGCCAGTATTAACACTTCTGTTTCTGGCCAATCTTTCTATTGAGGAGGAATGGCAAAGCAGGAATTAGCTGATGATGCAATTTCTCAGGTCATGCCACCCAAAGAATGAAACGGCTGCTTTAAACAGCAAACGTGTCAACAAATGTGAATGACCCAAAACTAGACGGATGGGGATGCAGGAGAAGATTAGGCGGAGCAGAGCATGTGGACTAGGGACTTGTGGGGGTGGAGTTTTAAATTGCAAACCTGGCTCGTAGCCTGGATTAAATATTTGCTCTTGTTTTCTCTCCTTCATTTGTGGATTAATCCTTGAATGAGATTTGGCTGGAGAGAGATGTGGCTTGAGGTTTTTCGTTTTCATTTTATCTGCTTATCTCTAGGCTATGATAATTGAAAGGGATGGTGCAGAAAGCTGAATTTCCAAAAGAGAATTCTGTGTACTGGGAGAGGGAGTAGGAATTAGCTCTCTCCTTTCAAAATACAGATTTTATCTGAAGGATTTGTTGCTGATCAATCAGTGTACAGATCCTTGTGTAATTTACTATTCCCAAAACACACGCATGATGATGGTTGTTTTCTTTCTTGAGGGCTCGTAACTTCTTGCCCATTTAGTTTCCACGCTCTGAAATAGTGGCATTTGTATCAGTGAAATAATAGACCCCATTATAAATCTACCTGTATAAAGATCCATTGTCTGGCTGAGGTATCTTCCTAGCAGATCAGAAATTTTAAAAATATATGGGGAGCAGGCCTGTGGGTCTTTAACAGTGCCTAGAGGTGGGTGGGGGCAGTTTGTAGGATATTTGCAACTCCCAGGTGCAGAAATTTAAAAAGACTGCCCCAACATGGACATTTCTTCCATAAATTAAATTGTGAAATGACCTGTTTGCACGGCATACATGCGACTGTGTGTGGGAGCTTTGTGACTTTCAGGAGTCTTACTTTGCATAACTGCAAATCAGCACCATGGATAAAGGCATTTGCACAAAATCCAATTCTGTCAGTGAAAGACAACCGGGTATCCGTGAGTTCTAGATATTTATTTATTTAGTTAAAGTTTTTATATGCTGTCCCCTTGCTACATAGCCTCGGGATGGCTCACAGCAATAAATAAATAAAACAAATACAATTACAGTTAAAACTTGGAAACACACTGGCTGCACAATAGAAACTATAAATATTAAAGATTATTAAAATACTGTTTGAATAAAAAGGTCTTGGCCTGGTGCCGAAAAACAAATAACGACAGTGCCAGGCGAACCTCTCTGGGGAGCGCATTCCACAGATAGGGCGCCACTGCAGAGGCAGAGCAGGCTGAGTGTAAAGTGCCTGTCTTTCAAAGCATCCCCTTGAAAGTTTACTTGTGTGTTGGAAGACTTCGCTGTATATTGCTGAGACCCGATACTTACATGTGCTTATACACCTTTTTCTTTTACAGTGTCATCAAATCGGTTTTCTGCAAAGGTAAGGCAAATGCTATTGTCTTTGTGTTCTCAGGAGGCCTAGATATGTCCTTAAAGTTGCACTGATTTGGTCCCAGGGGATGGTCTGACAGCTGGCATGTTGCTTGTTTGAGCATTGAAAGAAAAATATCTTCCTGCTTCTTGGTAATTCAGAGTCAATAAATCATCAAGAGGCAGGTGGAAGAACCCAGGAATGGTGCCCTCTCCTCCCTCTTCCCTCCAAGTCCCTGTTCCTTTTCTGTCATGTCTTTTCGATGGTAGGCCATAACACAGGGCTTGTTGTTGCTAGTCATGAAGTTGTGTCCAACCCATCGTGACCCCATGGACAACACTCCTCCAGGCCTTCCTGTCCCCCACCATCCCCTGGAGTCCAGTTCAGCTCACACCAACTGTTTCAGTGACCCTATCCAGCCACCTCCTCCTCCGCCGTCCCCTTCTTCTTTTGCCATCTATTGTTCCCAGCATCAGGCTCTTCTCCAGGGAGTCCTTCCTTCTCATTAGGTGGCCAAAGCATCTGAGCTTCATCTTCAGGATCTGGCCTTTTAAAGAGCAGTCAGGGTTGATCTCCTCTAGGACTGACCGGTTTGATCGCCTTGCGGTCCAAGGGACTCGCAGGAGTCTCCTCCAGCACCACAGTCCAAAGGCCTCAATTCTTCAGCGCTCAGCCTTCCTTATGGTCCAGCTTTCACAGCCATACATTGCAACTGGGAAAACCATCGCCTTGGCTATGCGCACTTTTGTTGGAAGGGTGATGTCTCTGCTTTTTAGTCTGCTGCCTAGATTTGCCATAGCTTTCCTCCCCAGGAACAAGCGTCTTTTAATTTCTTGGCTGCAGTCCCTGTCTGCGGTGATCTTGGAGCCCAGGAAAATAAAATCTGTCACTACCTCCATTTCTTCCCCATGTATCTGCCAGGAGATGATAGTCTTAATAAATCTTTCTGAGTTGTTCTGGCGACTTTTTTGGAGGGCAGAAAAGCAGGATAGGACTAGTCTGCTTGTGTAATATGTATATAAATATTTTCCTAATATGTCTGCCACTCATAGCAACATGTTTTCTAAGGGGAACCCCATGGTTTTTGGGCTGGTAAAGTTGCAAGATTGACTTGTGCCGTTAGTTTAATGAGCCTGCGTGTTTGAAGCCTGCAGTAACACCTTCAGTCACAAGGTGGCAGGCTTCCCCAACCAGCGCAGAGCTTTGCCGTTTGAAGCCATGGAGGTCGTTCTGGGGACAGGAACAGGGAAGGGGAAGGAAGCCCCTTTGCGGAGGGCATCCTAAGCAGGCACTGTGCTTGGCGATGCCAGCAAGTGTCGAGAGCCAGTGTGGCGTAGTGGTTAGAGCATGGGACTGGGACTCAGAGGATCTGGGTTCGAGTCCCCGCTCGGCCATGGAGCCAACTGGGTGGCTTTGGGCCAGTCACAGATGCTCAGCCCAGCCTACCTCACAGGGTTGTTGTTGTGGGGAGAAGATGGAGGAGGAGATGTAAGCTGTCTTGAGCCCTTTGTAGGAAAAAGGCAGGATATAAATCGAAAAAATAAAAAATAATAATAATAAGATGGATCAAACTCTCCACGTAGCATAGCTGGATACAGCAGAGCCCCTGCCTAGGCAGGCACAGTTAGAAAATTATTTTTATTTTATTTAAAGTATTTTTGGCCCATTCCTGACATGAATATTCTCCTGGAGAAGCCTAATTTAACAAAGCAGTCCCTGTCTACAGGCTTACAATCTAAAACAGGTATGACACACAAGGAAAGAGGATGGGGAGGGAAGAGGAAAGAAATGTCTTTCAGTGGGGCTGGTGGAATTGGTCTAGCTTCTGCTCTCCTCTCATCTGCAGCCTTAATCATGGTTAATACTAACCAGGTTCCTTCTTAAAACTGCTGCTTGAATACTCAATCCTTCAAGCGCTTCTTTTATAACCCAGTTTCTCCTCTGTCCAGGAGGCATACCGCCTGATCTACCGCACCTACCTCAATGAAGGATTCTTCACCCTGTGGCGTGGGAACTCAGCCACCATGGTCCGAGTGATTCCGTATGCCGCCATCCAGTTCTGTGCACATGAAGAGTACAAGCAGCTCCTGGGCAGCTATTATGGCTTCCAGGGAAAGTAAGAAGCTGTGGATTTGTTCCTTTCAAGATGGGGTGGGGGAGGGACAATTGCCAAATGAAGCTGTACTGTTTTTATAATCAAACCGTCAGCCCCTTTAGCCAAGGGTTTGGGGTTCCTCTTCCCAGGCTAAGAACAGCAGTGCCTCTTGCCGTGGGTTTTATAAAGTTCCTGCTTCCCACTGTTTTATTGCCTGTCAATGCATGCAGCCTCTAACACCCTATCCTGGAAATTTGAGACATGAAGCTGTTTTGGTAAAGGAAACAGTTTCAGTGCTCACAGCCCAAAGTAGCTCTTATCTAAGGAAGATATTAGGGAGAAAACAGTGACTTTTGGTGCTTCCCCTAAGAAGCATGGCTCCAAAAAACGATCCTGCTTCTTGGACACAGGGAAAATTTGCTACACTAGTAGCCATAGGATTTTTGGAATTCCAGCTTTGAGGCTGGAACTCTGTACGCAGAGCTCAACAATGCTTCAGCCTCTTTTGCTCTCCCTATAAAGTGCTGCAGATAAAGTCAAGGAAATGACTTCGTGCATGCTCAGGGGCACTTTCTTTCCTCTTCCCCTTTTCCTGTGGCCCTCTGGAGGCACTCGAGAGCCATAGATTCACTTTGTAAATGAGGGAAATACTGTCTGCAAATTAAAACTGGGACTAGGAAGGCCAGCTGATAGCCTCTTGGCTCTGGCCAAGGGGTCTTCTGCAGTGAATGGAGCTGCTTGGCTGGTAGGAAAATAATGGAGTCGTGGAATCAGGAGGGTGTTTAGCCTCCCACTGCCAAAGTGGGAAATCCACGGCTGTGACTTTCCCATTGGGTTGGCGCCTGGCCTCTGCTGGAAATCCTCTGACCACCTTTTGAGAGCTGGATTGATCCTGCCTTAAAAAAAAATCTTCCTTTTCCGGTTCAGGGCACTCACTCCGCTGCCCAGGTTCCTCGCCGGTTCTCTTGCAGGCACGACGGCTGCCATGCTGACATATCCGCTGGACCTGGTCCGTGCTCGGATGGCAGTGACCCCAAAGGAAATGTGAGTGGCTGGATGTACTTTGTGGATGCCCATTCAGTTCATTCTTGTGTTGGGGAGGCATAAGGAAGAAGGTTTGGAGGATACACGGCACTTAAGTCCTTTCGAAAGGGCCTGCCCTGCCCTGCCGTGACTCCTGATGGCTCAGTCCTGTTGTGCAGGCCATTAGCTGGACTTGTCTCTTGGTTCCTTTCACCTTTTCCTCCCCTAAATCCACAAAAGGACTGCTGGCAGTGCTTAAAAATAACACAGATGCTTCCTGGCTGGGCCAAAAATAGAGAATTGTGACATCGGACCTCAGGCACAACATGTGTGTTTTCCTCTTGTGGGCCTGGAAAGGAGCGCTCGGAATACAAGATCATTTATTCCTTCTCTGAAAGGGAACCTGCCACACACACACACACACACACACTCTCCCTCTCCCTCTCCCTCTCCCTCTCCCTCTCCCTCTCCCCCTCCCTCTCTCCCTCCCTCCCTCCCTCCCTCTTTCTGTGTTTCGAATTGGAGGCTGTTTTTCCTGCCGAAACCTGCAGAGGATTGCGTCTTGAGTGCTTTTGCGGCAGTCTTCGTTCCAGCTATGTTTGACACATGGCCCATCCAGCCATGTGTCAAAGAGCCTTTTTTTTAAGGACTTGTCAACTTCTTCCTCCCCCACCCCCCAAAAAACACTGTCTGTATGCTGAGATTCCCAAGAACAGCCTTGTAAACCCCATAAAGGTCATTGCCAGGAAATCCCAGCACGAGAGGGTTTACACATTTGCAGAGCTCAAATTAAGCCTCTCACTTCAGTGTCCACCTGCATATAAAGAACTCTGCTCTTAAGGCTGCCAGGGAAATACATGGATCGGGGTAGAATTCCTTTTATTTAAAGAATAAATGTCCGGAAATGCTTTGGCGGCAAGCAGCTGGGATGAACCTTTGTGCAAAGGGGCAGTTGATCTCTGCCTGCCGCCGACGGCAAGGAGGACCCAGAAACTGTTGACCCACACGGCTTACTTCCAGTTTGCAGGTTTCACTGGTGGCATTTAGCTAGTCCCTGCTTGGAATCAGGATTCTCGGCATAGGTGGACATTTATTTATTTAGAAAATTTCTATGCCGCCCCATTCGCCAAAGCCTCGGGGCGGCTCACAACCAAAATCAATTAAAATACTATAAATTAACAATATAAAATAAGTTAACTTGATTCTTAGACTTGATTCTGTCAGAGCTCTGTGAGTACACGTTTTCCTTTGGACCTGGGTGCAAATCCAGCTGTGGCTAGCTCTGTTGGTCATTCTGGTTTTGTTTGTTTTGTTTTGTTTTTGTTTTGCCGTGTCTTTTGCTCTAGTTGATTTTGGAGGAATTTCTCACATCCAGTTGTGGCTGCTCAAAAACCAAGAAAATTGTGGAACTGCCAGGGAGCAAGGAACTCGTGGTTCTTTGTCAGGCTGAGAGCAAAACAGAGAGAGAAAGCACGGGATTGGTTGAGCAATCTTGCAAATTCTGCCCTTGGATTTTTCCTTTGGGCCAGTGGCTGGTCGGGGGGAAGGATTTCCTACCCCACCTTGGACTTGTAAAAAGAAAGTTGGTTTTTCTTCTTGAATTTACGCCTTATAATTGATCCAAACTTTGCAACGAACATCCGAGGCCTTACTCAGAGTGCCGGTTTCTAGGAAGGCTTGGATGGGGGCAACAAGCAAGAGAGGCCTTCTCAGTGGAGGCCTCCTGATTATGTGGGTGCCCTGACACTCTGTCATGCTTGTGGTTCCAGGTTAGGACTGTCCTCTTCTTTTAGGCCAGTGGTGGCGAACCTCTGGCACGCGGGCCGCCGCGGCAGGCAGAGCCCTCTCTGTCAGCATTTATTTATTTATTTATTTATTTATTTATTTATTTATTTATTTATTTATTTAAACATTTATATGCCGCCCCATTCACTGAAGCCTCGGGGTGGTTTACAACATAAAAAATAACAATAATAACAATATAAAATATAAAATAACAGTATAAAATAAATAACAATATAAAAGAAGTCGCTCTGGCCAGATAAAATGAGCAAAAACTGTTAACAGTTAAAATGCTGCTTAAATAAAAGGTTCTTTACCTGGCGCCGAAAAACAAGTAACGACGGCGCCAGGCGGACCTCTCTGGGGAGGGCATTCCATAGATTGGGCGCCACCGCAGAGAAAGCCCTCCTCCGGGTACCCACCCTCCTAATTTCTTTCACGGAGGGTTCCCGGAGAAGGGCCTCTCCCGCAGATCTCAAGGGGCAGGCGGGCATGCGAGCCAAGTCGCCCCAGCATCGCCCCAGCAGCAGAGCACCCGATAATAGCGCACATAGGGCCATGCGCATGCTCGGAAAGGAGCAGTGGCGCCAGGCGATGACGTCACGAGCCACGACTCATTAGCCGCGACTTGTCTGAGCTTTCCCATGGCCGGTCAGTGTGCTGCCAAGGATATATTTGTGGAATGGCGCCCCATCTGTGGAATGGGCTCCCCAGAGAGGTCCGCCTGGCGCCGTTGTTATTTGTTTATTGGCGCCAGGCTAAGACCTTTTTATTCAAACAATATTTTAACAACGTATAATATTTATAGGTTTTAATTGTGCAGCCAGGGTGCTTCCGGGTTTTACTTGCATTTATTTATTTATTTATTTGTGTGAGCCGCCCCAAGGCTGTGTAGCAATGGGGACGGCATACAAAAACTTTAAGTAAATAAATATATTTGCTTGGACTGGCTGTGAGTTTTAATACATTTGTTTTTATTAACACAAGGTTTTAGCTTTGAGTTGTCTGATGAAAAATTGAAATTTAATATCTAAGATTTAGCAAAGAGATTTTCTAATGAAGAGCCTGAGATCTGAGATGTTCCTAATGTTGTGCTGTCCCCCTGGCGTATTTGAACCTGCAGCATCGTATTTGGTTGTGCATTTAATAGCAAGCATGGTACCTAATGGACTAACGGGGGCATTTACGTCCACTGTTTTAACAGGTCTAGTCTGTTCTTTTGAAGCTGTTTTTGCAGCTAAATTGTTTTTGAATGTCGTAGCTCGAAAACACGCCTGTGCAGTTTTCTTGAGTCCCCCAGCCTGCATTTTATTTATTTATTTAAAACATTTTTATGCTGCCCCCATCACAACAAAGCCTCGGGGCAGCTCACAACAAGAACGAAACATAACAAATTGTACAATAAAAATATTAAAACCCGGTGCATCTCGGCTTAAAAGATTTAAAATCTTATAAATAACCAATAAATTAACACTTAAAATAAGTTTTAAATAAAAAGGTCTTAGCCTGGTGCCGAAAAACAAATAACGATGGCACCAGGCGGACCTCTCTGGGGAGTGCATTCCATAGGTGGGGCGCCACCGCAGAGAAGGCCCTCCTCTGGGTACTCACCCTCCTAATATCTTTCACGGAGGGTTCCTGGAGAAGGGCATCCGTTACTGACCTCAAGGGGCGGGAGGGCATATATGGGCGCAAGCGTTCCTTTAGATACCCAGGTCCCAAGCTGTTTAAGGCTTTATAGGTGATAACCAACACCTTGAATTGGGCCTGGACTTCAATCGGGAGCCAGTGGAGCTGACAGAGAACTGGGGTTATATGAGAACAATGCCCAGTCCCCGTCAGCAGCCTGGCAGCTCTATTCTGCACCAATTGAAGTATCCGGACCGTCTTCAAGGGTAGCCCCATGTAGAGCGCGTTACAGAAGTCAAGTCGGGAAGTCACCAGCGCATGTGTCACTGTCGCCAGGCAGTCGTTCTCCAGGTAGGGGCGCAGCTGATGTATCAGCTGAAGCTGAAGGATGGCGCTCCTCAGCACCACCGTCACCTGGGCTTCTAGAGACAGCTCCGGGTCGAGGAGCACTCCTAAGCTGAGAACCCTGTCCCTCAGAGGGAGTGCAACCCCATTCAGGACAAGTCCCCCTTCCCGAGGCCCGAACCACCCACCAACAGGACCTCCGTCTTGTCTGAATTTTTGTGCCTCTCAGTACAGAAAAATTGGGAAAAATATGTTAGGTGTCTCTCTCCAGGTGATTGCGATTCCCAGTTTTTCAGCCTGTGAAAAGCAGCCCTTTTCGCACGCACAACTGCAAGGGGGGGCAGGGGGAGGGTTGTGACACTGGAACGGGATGTAGCTTGGGGAGTGGGGGTTGATTCCACCCTGAAAAGCCTTCTAAGATCGTCTGCCTGGCAAGGTTGCGGCTTCCACTGGTGCTCCCCCGTATCATGGAGCTGGGACTGCGGAAATCCAGCCTCGAGCCCCGCAAGTCTCTTTCCTTGGGGCTGTTGCACCGAGGCACAACATCAGCACTTGGGTATGTCTCTGGCATTCAGCCTTGCCTACCTCGCAGGGGTGTTGTGAGGATAAAATGCCGAGGAGGTGGGCTGCAGTCCTCGGAGGAAAATGCAGAATAGGGAAGTCGCAAATGTTATTCCAGCTTTCTCACAGCCACAAGTTACCTTCGAATCCGCTTCACCAGACTGGCAGGTTGCCCCTTTTGCAGGTTGCCCCTTCAGGTGGCAGGTCCTGCAGGAATGTTGACCATGCACAAAGAGACGTTGGGAAGTGAGGACTGCTCCCACCCCGGGAAACCCCCTTCCTTTGCTCGGAGAGGTGCACCCTGACCGGCCTTTCCTCTGGCAGGTACAGCAACATCATGCACGTCTTCATCCGGATCTCCCGGGAGGAGGGGCTGAAGACGCTGTACCGGGGCTTTGTGCCCACCATCCTGGGCGTGATCCCGTACGCCGGGCTGAGCTTCTTCACCTACGAGACGCTGAAGAAGCTGCACGCAGGTGAGACAAGCCGCACCCCCAGGGTACTTCCAGGGACAGCCCTTGGGGTCCCACCTGAGGCCTGGTCTTTAAGCGGTGTGCTCTGCTGTTCTGCACGGCTTTCCAGGAGACAGGTGCGTTGCCTGCCGACCGCGTACCTGACTCGCGCCTCTCGTCCCTTCCCTGCAGACCACAGCGGGCGGCCGCAGCCGTATCCCGTGGAGAGGCTGATCTTCGGGGCCTGTGCGGGGCTGATCGGACAGTCCGCCTCCTACCCCCTGGACGTGGTCCGCCGGCGGATGCAGACGGCGGGGGCCCTGGGGCTGTCCTACGGCTCCGTCCTCAGCACCATGGGGGACATCATCCGGGAGGAGGGACTGATCCGGGGGCTCTACAAGGGGCTCAGCATGAACTGGGTCAAGGGGCCCATCGCCGTGGGCATCAGCTTCACGACGTTCGACCTCACGCAGATCGTGCTCCGTAAGTGGGGGCACGGCGCCGACACGGCGAGGTAGTGGCCACCCTCCTGGCTGGGGGACCTGAACGCGGGTGAGTGGCGACGAGGGTGTGGCCGTGGCTCATGTGGACAGGTCTCTTGCTTTAACCACCTTCCCAAACCCAGGCGGGCTCCCTGCGGTAGATCTGAGCGACCTAAAAGAACCATCTCCAGTAAGACACGCACTTCCTGGCCGTGCCGTGCGGCTCTCTGCTCCCGCAAGAACAGGCCTTGGTAAGAGTCCGTTCTCTTCCTGGCCTGGGGTTTCTGTTGCTCTCTTGACATGATCTAGATCTCTGAACCCCCCCGAACCAGGAGCCTCTCTTGCCCTCCCTGCTGATCTCAAAACCTGCAGTCCTGCCCCATCTCCCCCCCACCCCGCCTCAGCTTAGCTTCTGTAACTTTGAAATGGGACATAACCTGGATTTGAGAGATGGGGTAGCTTGTGCTGCCTCCCACCCCAAATATTTTTAAATATTTTAAATCCGTTCCTCTCTTGCTCTCTCCTGCATGGAAGCTTCTCTTTCTATTCTCCCCTCCTTTTCAAAATCGCACCCAGCAGCCTCCGTTGCTGGAAATACACTCCTGGCCGATCATGCCAGTTTGCAGAGGAAAACCAAAGAGCATCTTTCTCTCTAGGACGGCAGGCCTTGAATTCCAAAATTGCTGCCACAATCTAGGAAGCTGCAAGTTTGCAACTAACCCGAACCCAAACTGGATCGAAATCGTCAGTGCTGCTTTTCTAAACAGCTTTTAAATGTGATTTTTAAATGAGAGAAATAGCCTCTTTTAGACTCCATCCCTTCTTCGGTATGCTCTGGGTGAGTTTTAGCCACACGTGGCAGGAATGGGACACACTAATAGGCTCGAAACATGGACTGTTCTTTTCCTTCAGTATTATCATTGGCTGCAGAATTGAGAAAAACAGTTCTCACAGTGACGCAGGAGACACTTTCAGCCCCCCCCCCCCCCGGCTTCCTATGGGGAACCCCCAGAAGGGTGAAGCCGCTGGGAAGCATCTTGTACCATGTATTTCTGGCTTATTCTTGGATTAGGCCGAGCTGTTCTCACCCGCCTTCTTTTATCCGTTTAGTTTTACCTTTCTGGCTTTGTGACCCAGGTATCAGCCTTGTAGGAAGCACAAGCCATGCCCGGATGTCATTTGAGCCCTGCTTACCGCTCTCCCCCCAGTCCAAGGATTGGGGCAAAGAAAGGGGCGTTTGGATTAGGGCCCAGGTCTGCACAGCAAGGCCAAAGGACTCCCTTTGCTAGGGCCGAACTACCTGCCTTTCCTCGTATTCCTGTTAAACCCTCAGCGTTCCCTCAGTGCCAATGGGTTTTTGGAGATGGGGAGTCCTGCTGTGTCCCACACACGTAAAGAGATGCTTCTGCCCTTTATTGTTGAAGCAAATCTTAGCACCCGTAAATCTTGTATGCGCAGAGACCCGATCCTGGGAATGCTCATAGGAGAACCTTCCTTTTCAAGGAGCAAGCAATGTTGGAAGGAAACCCCCCCCCCCCACCACTTCTTAAAAAGCAGTTCACCAACTCCAGGCTTCTCCCTGCTTGGGGTGGTGGAGCTTCGCTTCTAGGAGGCACTGCTAGCCGCCTCCAGGTGGGTGGGGCGGCTGCTCCTACCACCCCATTGCTGGGGAGTTTGGATGTGGTAGTCACACTGCCCTTAAAGGAATTGGCCTGGGGGACACTGCTTTGGGAGAAATGCTTTCCTGTTTTGGGTCCTTCCTCCCATGTTTCTGCTTAGCCAGAAATCTGAGCCACTTCTGTCTTTTTCCACCCCCACCGTCTCCCCGTTCCCAGGAGTCCTCGAAAGAGTCGCACAAGGCAGTGGGGAGAAGTGTTTAATTTTGGGCCAGGCATCTCAGGTCCCTGTGAGGTACACTTTGATGCTGTGACCATCCTGGGCAAGATTTGATTTTTCAGGTGCTTTCAACTGCAGCTTCCAGCATTCCATGCTTGCTGGGGCTGATAGGAACCCAAATCCAACATTACCCAGCACTACAGTCATGCTGGAGGTAGTCTTTTCCCAGGACATCCGAGGGGGCATCGTCTTTATACCTCCCCAGTTCCCAAGGGGGGAGCCTGAGGAATTTTGGGAAAGTTTTCCTCCGGCAAGGGGGTCCTTAGCAAATCCCCCCCCATCACTTATAGGGGTTTCGCCACACTTTGCTTGGTGATGCCATCCTTCCCCCATAAACAGAGGCACGAATTTATTCTGCTGCTGTCTGAGCTGTGAACATCTTGCTGCTTGAATTCCTGCTCACAGAAGCTCTCGCCTGCATGCCCAGGGGGCGAGGAATGCTGGCAGCTGAAGCCCGAAGATCTGGCAGCCCACTTTCCGTGCACCTGTTTCTCTCTCGGAAGGGGTTCCCCTTTTGATTGGAAGACACATTTTGTCCCGTAGGCCGGAGCCTTCCAAACCGCCTGTTCGTGTGGGAACGTTCCCTTGCTATCAGAGAAACTGTGTGTTTCAGCCAGCTGTGTTGCGAGTACAAATCCCATTATCCATGGTGGCTGGGGACGGAGAGTGTTGCAGTCCAGCATCTGCTAGGACTCCGACTCGAGTTGCAGCAGATTCTGCCCACAAATTCCACATCGCAACCATCGGTCTCTCTTGGGGAAGCGGCCACTGCTCTGCACCCCACGAGGACCCTGCCATGCTCTCCGGGCAAGTGCGTGGAAGTGCCTGAAGGCAGGTGTGAATGTAGAGGTTTTTGGCGAACAATCCACACAGGGAGTGTTCCAGAGAAAGCTGACTGAGTGGCCCAGGGCGGCTTTTAAGGGTCAGATTACTCTATGCAGGGGCTGTGCAGCATTATCCAATGCTGCTGCTCTTTTTTTGCGCAAAACAGACGTGTGTGAGCAGAAGGCTGGTCCCCAGGTTCTGCAGGTTTGGGGGAGTTTTTTTAATAAGGTGAATTTATCCTTTTGTTTTATATAAATGTTATAGTGGTATTGTAAAATGTGCCAAGAGAAGACGTATATTTAATAATAAAAGAATGATTTATCTGCTGTCTCCTGTCTGTCGTGAGTCTCTCTCTTCTGAAATGCCCCGCACGGGTTCCCTTCAACATACACTCTAAGGAAATGCATTACGCAGAGAGGTTGCTGCTGGAAATAGGTACTTCCCTAAGACAAGGAGCTGTCCCACTGCAAGCTGCCCCCCCCACCAGAGGCACTTCTTGCAAACACGCCAGAGGGGCTGCCCCTTGTTAAGGATGTCACTACCACATGGGTAGACAGCAGGGGTGCAAAGGGGGTGAACACACTGGCTTTTCGGTGCAGCTGGGCTGCAGCCCTGAGACCCATACGTCCCAGGAGTGATACCAAATCAGGGAGGAGACCAACTCCAGATTCCAGCAGGGGAAGGCAAATTCCTCTGCAAAAGCAAGCAGACTTCCCGTTTTTATGCTGCTGTGCTTGTCTTGTTGCTGGTCGCATTCCAGAATGGATGCTGATTTGGGGCATTTCCAAGATACTGGAACGCTACCCAGCTGCAGGTGTGACCTGTGCCTGTTTTTGAGCATTTTTAAAATTTGTGGAGGCAGGCTTTGGGTTGGATCCAGGATCTTGCCTTCTGAAAAGCAGGCAGGGGGAGGGGGAATTGCTCCATAGATCTGTTCCCTCAGTTCAGGAAGAGCACCCACCTCTGCGGAGCCGTTTCAGGTGCTGTGGGAAGCCCCACTTGGGCATAAAGGACACCCGACTCCTGTAGGGTTGGTATTTTTTTCAATGCACATTGAGGTGGTGAAACAGCTGTGTTCAGAACATTAGAAACCCCACACCCCCCAGGAACAAGATTTTGGCAATCGGGACTACCTTCTCCCACAGTTCACCACCAGTCTCGAAGGACAACCAGACAGTGGGTATCTTCGGAGGCACGGTTTTGTGGGTTTTTTTCTTTTACCCACGTTGCTTCCACAGCAGAGCAAGACAAAGGCTGGAGGAAGAAAAGGTATTCCTTCGTGTAGGAGGAAGCATGCCGTAGTGACCCGGCTACACCCAGCTTCCTTCGCTCTCCATCCTGGTTCAGACGCCAGGTCGTGCCACGGAGATGGCCCACTGCTTTCCAAGAGCAGTCCGAAAACCTGCTGCTTAAGAGGCAGCCAGGTGCTGATGGAAATAGAGGCCAAAGAGGGTAGAGACCACCTGGCAGGCGGCCACCCACCAGGTGAAGAACGAGAGGAGTCCTCGGTAGAAAAGTGGTGTGAAGACTGTTCCAAAAGTGCTCAGGACTCCCGTGATCTGTTCCACAGCGGCCTGGATATCCTCTTTTCCCGTCTCTTCGGTGGCGGGGCTGGACTGAAGAACAGGTGTTGCATCCATCGGTGGAGACTTCAGAGCAGGCTCGGGATAGATCCCCCAGGAGTATCCCCCTTTAAAATATACACATTGAATTCTTAGGTGTACCAGAAATGGCACTCAAATATCATGAGAGAGGGTACATGTACGGATATCCTGACCGACCAAACCTGGTGCACCATATAATGCCAGCTCGTGAGTTAGTTACCTCCTGGTTTGTTGATTTACCCAGAACGTGTCTGCCAGGCAAACAAACCATGTTAGTTTTTCAGTGCCAGGCTAAGACCTTTTTATTCAAACAATATTTTAATAATGTTTAATATTTATAGGTTTCAATTGTGCAGTCAGGGTGTTTCCGGGTTATTTGTATTTGTATCTGTATCTGTATTATATTACATTATTATATTTTAATTTATCTATCTATCTATTTTATTATTTATTTATTTATTTATTAAAACATTTTTATGCCGCCCCATTCGCTGAAGCCTCGGGGCGGCTCACATCAATATTTATTTGTGTGAGCCATCCCGAGGCTATATAGCAAGGGGACGGCATATAAAAACTTTAAATAAATAAATAAATAGTTCTCTCAGTCTGTATAAGCTTGTTCAAACAGGCTATAGCAGGCTCTGCAAATGTTTCCGTCCTAACTGGGCTGCCACGACTTTGTAACTCTAAATCAGGGGTGTCCAACCTTTTGGCTTCTCTGGGCTGCATTGCAAGAAAAAAAAATATCTTGGGCAGATAAGCAAAACAAAAAAAAGTTCTATGTATAATTTTAATGCTATCTGCCACCACAGATAAGCAGAAAATTCCTCACATAATCCTAATTAATGCTTGGAAGGTAACACACTGGAAGCTGCAAACTGCCATAAAAGAGAAGCCATGACTATGTACAAATAGTGAGAGCACAGGTACATTTATTTTACGTGACATTGCGAAACGACATTGTCGTCTACAAAGCACACACTGGAGAACTGCGCGATCGAGTTACCAAAAAAAGGCAAAAAATCTCATAATGTTTTAAGTAAGTTTATGATTTTGTGTAGGCCCACATTCATAGCCATCCTGGGCTGCATGTGGCCCCCAAGCTGCGGGTTGGACACCACTGCTCTAAACCTCGTTGCTGCATTTGCCCACTTTCCTCTTCCCTCCCCAGCCCTCTTTCCTTGTGTGCTGTGCCTTTGAGAGGACACTGGCTGCTGTTGTGACGTTTTTGGCTGAACAGACTAAAACATTTTAAATGCATAAATGAGCCTCCCCACCCATGAATAACAGTGTAGGAATATCGCAAAAATATTTGGGATGGAGAGAAAAGCCCGGCTGCCGTCTTACCAAGAGTTTTGAGAAGCAAGGTGCTGTGCAGGGTGAGCAGGATCGGGGCCAAATACTGCAAGCTGACCACAGCCACATAGCAGTAGATTCTGGTAATCTGGAAGAAGAGAAATTATGGGGCAATTCTGGGAACACAGGTTCTTCTTTTTTTTAAAGGACACATGCCCTGGAAAGAGTTATTGCTTTTCCAGCAAGTATTTTACATCCTAGGAAAAGGGTGCCAATCCTTTTTCAGCGTGCATTTCAGGGGCTGCATTCTGGTGCTGGCCGGGACCGGAGGCAAAATGCGCAAGGACAAATTTCTAGCGTGTTTCAAAGCCTTCGGAGAGGCATGGCACGTTTCAGAACGGCACAGCTGGGAGGAGGGTCTCCAGGCCAGCTTCGTGTCTCAGCCGTCCGAGTTTCAAGGCCTCTGTCCCAGCTTGCAACTCCCTCCCCTCAACGGGAACAGAAATAGGTCCCATGAAACCTGCACTGCTGAGCTGGCCTCTTCTCCTCTCCTACCTTCCGCTGGATCTCCAGCACCGCAATCCGGCCAGCCTCCCGTTTCATTTGCTCCACCCAGCGCTGAGCGAGATTCAGGTACGCCTGGAGGTGGTGGCGGGTGACTGCCAGGCGGAGGAGGCACAGCACCACGATTGTCCAGAGCCGCACAGAATTGTAGGTGCTGTCAGACATGCTGCGGGCAAAGGAACAGGAAATGGGGTTGGGGGGTGTGTGAGTGGGGGGCGGATGACTGAGCACCACCTTTACAGCATGGCCAAGCCTTGCATGGAAGCTGCCTAAGCATCCCCCTCACCCCATGAGTTTAAAAGTTATTTGGGCAGAAGAATCAAGTTGCTAGTCCTCATGCACAGAGTGTGTGAGTGGCAACAGGAAAGAATCAAAGTGGTGATGCTCATGCAGTGAGAGTGCGTGCACCAAACACATGGCGTTTCTTTTAATTTGCCACAAACTACCTTTGCGGAGACTGATTTTCTCTGCAAAATTAGCGAAGAAAGTAGAATTAAATTCTAAGGTGTGGAACCAGCAAGCAGATGGGTCAGAGCGCACCCTCCTGCAGCAAAAAGAAAGCCCAAACGCACCCCCAACTTACAGCTGGACTGTCTGCCCACCCATGGGGGCGTTCAAGAGGAGATCCCGAGAAATGGGCTTGACCCACATCAGCACGACAATCAGTGGGGTGAGGAAGCTGGTGTGGAGCAGCAGCCTGCGGGAGAAAGATCGGGGCTGCCTCAGCACAGCTGGGAGCTCCCCATGGGGTCACCCCTTCCTCCAGAAGCCTTGGACTATGACCCCCAGCATGCCCGACCCTCGCCCAGAGGATTTCTGGACTTCCCCTCCCAGCAGCAGCGGGCAGAAGAGGGTTGGGCAGAGCAACTGGCCGCTCGGCCCGTGTCGCCGCCTGCAAGCGGGATGCAGGAAAGTGGAGTTGTTTCAGGACAAGCACAGCTGTAAACCTACAATTTACTTCCCTGCTTCGCTGTTGGAGGAACCTGCCAGGCGCTCTTTGAGCCCCTGCTCTTCCTCCTTGCTGTATGGCCCCGGCTTTGCTTTCCGGGTCACTCTGCGTGATGGAAGATAGGACTGGCATCCGAGCAAAATAAAAATGCCAGCCTGCACAAACACTCCCCCCGCCCCGCCCCTGACGACTGCTTAATCTAGCCTTCTGCTGAGATGGCGCCCTCTGGGTGATAGGATTACATCTCCCATCAACCGCAGCCAGCAGAACGGCAGGGGTAGGTCCCACACACACGTTAAGGCGAGGAAATGCAGGGTTGGCTTTATGACAACTTTGCTAGGCAGCTCAATGCTCCATGTTTTTACTCTCTGGAATGCCCCCCCCCCGAAGAAACACTGTTCAGTGGGGAAGCTTGTTTTCCAGCCCCCACTGGAGGGCAGGGGCAGGCGGCAATTCCTCAGCTGTTTGGCTAAACACTAGGGAGCCACCGTTACGTAACTGCAACATTGGCCGGTGAGGCACCATTTTCAGCGCGTCCAGGTGAGTCTGTGCCAGCCGCAGCCCCGGGAAGGTCAGGCAGGCCCCAATGAACGAGCAGAAGGCCACGATCCCCAGCTTGACCGTCAGCTTGCTCACGGGGATCCTGCAACGGAAGCCGAGATGCGGGTCAGGTAAGGCTGCGAGACACACGACGGAGCAGAGCCAAACAAAAACTTGGCATGGATTTTTTTTTTAAGTTCTGATGGTTTGTGCAAAGCCATCTCGACACACAACTCCTTTGGGGGCAACTCTCCAGCAAGCCCCCTGAGCTTTCCCAAAATGAATGTGCTGATAATTATGTGCTGTGCATCATGGAAGGGCACAGGAGAGAGGGTAGGGGCTGTAAGCCACCAAAGGGCGCCTCACAGGAAAGATTTACTCCCTCGGTGTAATTGCAATTCTGACTCAAATTCGGGCAGGGACCCCCGTTTAAGACTGAAGAGGGCTCAACTTACGTCCATCCCCATCCCTGTTCCTTTAAGAAAACCTCCAAGTTATCGAAGACGTTGGTCAGCCCTGTTCGGAGGAGAAAATCAGACTGAGAAATTGCTTCCGGGTCTGTGTTGGCCCAGGGCAGGGGCCAGCGGCTACGCAGATACTACGTCCAGCGAGACGCATTCTCACCTGCATCCAGGCCAAATTCAAGGTGGTCTTCGCGGATAACCAGGACCACCATGGCGATCAGCAGGAAGAAGAAGGCGAATGCCAGGCACACGGCGCGCTCGCCCCCCTCCTTGGAGCGGAAGTAGTGCCGCATCACCATGCAGAGGATCTTGCTGAAAAGCAGGCTAAGGGGGGTCACGCTCATGATTTTGCTAACTTCGCTCCCCTCCTTCAGAGAGACAGAAGAATTTAATTTTAATGCTGGCTGGGAAAGAAGCTCCAACTAGCTTCGGGGGGGGGGGCAGGTTCCAGGAAGAGCCCTTTCTCTGCTGTACCTGAGAAATGCTCACATTTGAACCTGGGACCATCCACTCCCTCCAGCACTTTTATGGCTCACTTTCCTTTTCAATCGGCTTTTTGAAGGCAGCTGCAGCGGGCTGCGTGGGATGGAGTCACAGGGGGCAGTTCTGCCTGTTTGCAGAACTGTCCAATTTTTATTTTTGGACTGGCGCCGATCTCTGCAGGCAGGAAACCCTGACATATGCACCACCGTCGCTGCTATCCTGTTAGGAACTCGAGAGATGGGAGAACATAACCCCTTCTCTTCCTCATCTGAAATGAAGGGACAACGCGGGTCTACCTAGCAGGGTGCTGGTTAGGGATTGCAACTCCTGGGCCTAAAGTACTGCACTCTGTTTAGGTTTGCGTGATGCTGTTTACAAGGGCCAATTTTGATTCCGAACGTCCAGCCAAGGGACGGAGACCATTGCTGGAGGATACATGGAGAAAGCGACCGTCAGCAGGCACCAGAGAATTCCAATGTTGGCTTCTTTCTGGGGGTCCACCAGGCTGTAGTACCCTTCCGTGCAGAGGTACACCAGGGCAGAATAAGCCGCGAAGTCCACGTACCACTGATAATCCACGAAATAGCACAAAACTAGACAGTAAGGGGAAATACTCTTATTTATGGGGTACAGTTCAGCAGCGGTGTTGTGGTCATTGCACAATGGGGGCATTCAACCTCTTTCAGCCCGAGGGAAGCATTCCAATTTGCAGAAGCCCCCCCCCCCCCCCCCCAACTGTGTTCCACTGCTGGGCAAAAGCGGGTGTCCAAATGGCAGTACTTTTACTTCAGGGCTTTCATGCTGCTGCTTGGGAAGAAAAGGTCAATTCTGCACGTGGCTTTTCCCCTCATCTCTGCAAATACAAGGGACTAGACACTTAGCTTTTTAAGAGAAAGCTAACCTTGCAGAGAGAGGCTTGCAAGGGGCAAGAAGGACATGCCACTGAAGGCAGCCCCTTGTGACCAAAGTTACAGAATCACAGAATAGTGGAGTTGGAAGGGGCCCTGAAGGCCATCAAGTCCAACCCCCTGCTGTTGCAGGACACCAAGTCACACCACCCCACTCAGAGGGCCGCCCAGTTTCTTTTTGGATGTCCCCAGTGTGGGAGAGCCCCCCACCTCTCCAGGAAGCTGGTCCCACTGTCTTATCGCTCTGACCATGGGGAAGCTTTTCCTGATGTTCGGCCTGAACTGGGGTTGTCGCAACTTGACCCAATTATTCCGTGTCCTGCACTCTGGCATCAGCAAGAAGAGACCTTGGCCTTCTTCTCTGTGACAGCCTTTGAACATGCCCAGTTCCCTCAGCCTCTCCTCACAGCGCAGCGTTTCCAATCCCTGGGTCATTTTTGTTGCCCTCCTTGGGACCCTTTCTAATTTACCTGCCTCTTTCTTAAATCTTGGTCCCCAGAACTGGACACAGTATTCCAGGTGAGGTCTGACTATGAAGGAGTATAGAGGAACTACTACTTCTTGTGATTTGGAAGCAATACTTCTGTTGATGCATCCCAAAATAGAGTCTTCCCAAACCCCAACCAGCATAGATTAGCCTGCGAGGCTAGTCCCTATGACCAAGATGGAGCTCAGAGAAAAAGCCAACCTCCTCACATTACCCAGAATGTCCACGGCTGTGATGGGGGCACTCCCCAGGCGCAAATCAATATCTCTGGGGACAGATGCAGGTTTGTCATCCATCACGCCGTTGATCCGCCTGCCAGAGATAGACAGACAAGAACATCTGTTTGAACATCTGGGGAACCACAGAAGGATGCAGAGAAAAGGAAACGTCCTTCTCAAAAGCAGGCATGAAAATTAGACAAGCGGTAAGAACTGAGTGCAATGTTCAACTGTGGAACTCACTGCTGTAGGATGTGGTGACTGCCACCCTAAAATTTTGCATTTTTTAATCATTTTAATCATTTTTTTCTTTTAAAAGGGAGCAGGGGGTGTTAAACGGCCACTGTGCTGGGGACCCTGCCAGTGGTGGTTGTGCGGGGGGGGGGGGGCTCCAAACACACTTGTTCAATACTGGATTCCTCCTCCTTGGGCACAGGGGTTGTGTTTAAAACAGTTTTAAAACTGTGTGTGTGTGTGGGGGGGGGGGGCGTTTTCAGCTTGAAGGCCACATCCTGCTTTCGAAAGCAGGCTGCATGGCACATGCCTTCTTCCACACACCCAGAAAATGCCCCCCTTGTATGGCTGCCAAGGCATCTTTTAAAGATTTTTCCAGTGGCCTACTTTTATGTAGGGTGGACCATTTGGGTGGCTCCCAAGGGCAGGGAAGGAGGAAGGAGTTTCTCTAGGTTGCATCTGTTTGCAGATTCTCCACCCTGAATTTAAAAATGGCTTCTTAGGCCTAAGGAACAGGAGGGGAGGGAATCTGTCGGAAAGCTAGTCTGGTGTTGGAGTAGGATGACGGGGACCCAGGTGCAAAACCCCACTCGGCCATGAAGCACCCTGGGTGACTTCAGCCCAGGCACTGTCTCTCAGCCTAGCCTACCCCACAGGGTTGTTAGGAGGATAAACCATGAAGGGAAATGGCGGAAGGTAATGACGCATGCGGCCTTGGGGCTCCTGGGAGAAGAACGAGATTGAGACGTAATAAATGAGCTTGCAGCTAATAGGCCGGCTAGTTAAATAGAACCCCCCTGGCCAAGGCCTGCCTATTTTTAAATCCTAGATGTTGGTGCAAGTTTTTATGTCGCGGTGGACCAGACATGGCCTGCCAGCTCCCATGATCCCTCGCTCTTTGCCATAGTGGCTAGCCTGACGGGGGCTACAGGACCAAAGCTCTGGAGGGGTCACCTCCATTGGATGCTAGAAGGGGGGTTTGACCCCAAAAGAACCCTTTTTGTGTGAGCAAAGCAGGAGGAAAATTAGAAAAACCTCTGCTCACTTTCAACCCCAGCCTTTCCCCACTTTCAACCTCGGCTTGCCAGCCACCCAGATATCTGCTGAAAGATCAAGTGCTGTCTTCCCTTGACACCCCCGGCCAAGATGGCCGCCCTCTCGCCAACTGGACTCACCGGTCCCTTTTGCCCTTCGGCTTCTGCTTGCCTGCAAGGGCAAGAAGCTCCTCCTCCGGCGGATGCTTGTAGCGACGCAGACTGCAGCGATAACGAAAGAGAAGGAAGCGGGTTAGACAGCCGCCGGACGAGGAGAGCCACTCCGCATGGTGGCTGCTTCCGTTTTTTCCTTACTAGAAGTTCCTACAGGATGGTTTTGCTCATGATCTGGCCATTTTGAAAAAATATTTTCCATTTTTAAAAATAAATTTATTTTTTAAATTAAATTTATTAATTAACAAATTAATATTTAATTTAATTAATTCAATTAAATTAAATTTATTATGAGCTTTTCTATCCCATCCCCTACACACAACTCGGGACAGCTTACAATAAATAAAACATTCTTACCATATTTTATAAAAATGTTTTACAATATTTAAAATGCCACTGAATTGTGCCACAGTCCCTGGGAGGCTCACATTTACAATATAAAAACACAATAAAAACCAATAGCACATTAAAATTAAATAACAATAAAATTTGAGCAAAATATAAAACAAAGGTCTTATGGCATTAGTTATTAAAATATTTTTTTAGAAGGAAGGTCTTGGTGCTGAAAAGAAAGGAAGGAAGGTGCCAGGCGAATCTCCTTGGGGAGAGCATTCCAAATATGGGGAGCAGCTGCAGAGAAGGCCCCGCTCCTCATGACCACCCCCTCACCTCCTTAAACCAAAACAGAGCATGGGGAGGCATTTATTTACTCTTGAATTTGTGAGCAGATACACCCAAAATGAAAAATATTCTTGCTTTTTAAGGAAAATGTCCACCCTGCTACCTGATTTAATTACAGGGTGGGCTGTCTAAGGTCTTGATCAACTCCACAAAACTTTACCTAGAAGAACATCTGGGGGCGTGGGGGGAAGAGGGGGAGGGAGTCCATTACTTGTAATAATATTAATCGATCTCTGAAATTACTGTGAAAGTTGGCATTAACTCTCACCTAGAACAAAACAACACTAGCCGCATCTTGGGGTCATTTTTGACCCCAGTAGAAAGTGTTTATTTTCCCAGCTTTAAAGTGAGACCGAGATAATCGGTAGTGATCCTTGCTTTGTGGGTTTTGGTGGTATAAAAGTACCCCACACAGGCATTCCTACATGGATTCTGCAGTACTTCTGTGCCCTGGGCATATCTGGTCTATTAAAAAACTGTAAAAGGCAGGAAACTGAAATTTGGGGGTGCTTTTGAGTAGAACTTTTGGGACAGCATCTGAGAAGGATGAGTTGGTGGGTGCATTCTGCCCGTGGTTTGCAGTACCTTCCGTTGCAAAGGAGCCATCGGGCAAAGGACCAGTGTGGAGTCATTTTCTGCATGACGCTGGCCACCATCAAGGAGAACACGAGCTGAACCCCCATCACTGCCTGCCAATCAGAAAGAGACAAGCCCGCTCAGTCCAGGAGTCTCACTGTACGTCCAGCACACGGGTACCCCATATTCACCCCAGACAAGCCCCAGCCAATTCCCACTCATCCCCAAACAGTGCACAAAACCAGCATTTCCTCTGGCACACTTTCATAAATGCTTCTAAATAAATAACAAGAGGCATTCTGAAATTCAGGGGGAAATATATTTAGGAAAAAAACTAAGGCATGCATGAGAAACACCCCAAGCTTCACAATGATCATTCAGCATCCTGCGAAACACGACTGTCTTGGGGTCAGGAGGGAATACCACGGAAGAGGGTATGAGCTATGCTGCAACATTTTGTCGCAGTTCCCAGCCTTCCTCCGTAGGGAGTGGCCTTCTGGGGAGGCATAACATTTTCCCACCATGCACTGGGGCAAAGCTACCTACCAGGCATTGTGGGTAATTGAAAATCTTGCCTGGCAGATGCCCACCAGTCCAACAGATTAGATTTTCCACCTCCCCATGTCTCCCACATGTAAAAAAATGCAAATGATTTTTATCACAGCCATCCAGTTGTTTTCATAAAAAGGATGGTCTGTTTACAGATCTTTATATTTCGATATTTTATTGAGAGTCATCTTTCTCCTGCAAGGAAGCTAAAACAGCTCACACAGTCATCATATCTCTCTTTATCCTCAGAGCAATGCGGTAACGTAGGCTGAGACATATTTTATACTAAAATACATATACTAAAAATGCCTTTTCCCAGGGCCTGCTGCCTATGCTCAGAACTTTTAAAATCAACATTCACAATGAATATGAAGTCCTATTTTTAATAGGAACAATCTATCCCTTGTTTAATGTTATTTGGCCTTTTAATACTTGAATTATTTTCAGTTATAGTTTTACTTTGTTAATTGTTTTATTTTCTTCTCCTTTTCAAAAAAGACAATCTGGTCACTGACTGTAATAAACTGATTGACTGAATAGGAATAATCTTGAGGATTATTTCTTATTCTTGCTCCAAGTTTAAAAAAACTCAGCAAAATCCCCAGCTCCCTTTCTGCACATTTTCCGCCTCTTCTCTAAATTACAGCAGGTGGAGAACTCTGGAGCTGCTGCTAAAATCCAGCCACCATATAGGGCGCCGGAATGCGGGAATGCTCAGTTCTGTGCTATTTTTAAGACGTGAAAGGTGAGCTGATGTACTCCGGAGTGGCTGGGAAAAGGCTACAGGGATTAGTACTTCTTAAAGAGAGAGCAGGGAGGAAGGAGGGTTAAAGTGCTACATAACTAACAAGAAGAGGGGAGGGAAGAACAGCTGCCCCCATCCTCCATTGAACAGTAGCATTTATTTTGTGCAAAAGTGGCAGACTCTGGTAGAAAAAGCTCTTCTTTCTCACACAGGAGGGCCAACCGTGGCCCATCCATGTTCCAGGCTCGGTCCTGTGAGCCAGGCCATGCCTCACAGAGCTAATGGGCAAAGAAAGAAACCCAGACTGAAAACGTCGCCTTTTCAAGAAATGAGCAGCAAGGTGCTAGTCCTCATGGGCCAGCAGAGGGGAGAAAGAAAGGGTTTAATTTTTGGAAAAGCTGCGGGCAGCTTCTGTGGATGATGGAATTCGGAACAAAATTTCCAGTGTGCGAGTGCATGAGAAGCCTGCTGGCGTGATTAGCACAGCTGTGTAGCAGTGACACCTTACTCTTGAGAAAGCATAATGTTTGCATGTTCAAATACAGAGCTCTTTTTAGGTCAGATCACAGCCCTGCATGTACATACATGAATAATAATAATAATATACATGGATACATGTGCAAACATACATGCTCCTTTACACACACATGGAAGCAAAAACACTTTATTTAGGTTGCAGCCCTAGCATTCATTTTCCCCATAACTCTGCCTGTGGTGTTTCTCTCCCAGAGCCCAGCAGGATTCTCCAAACCTCAGCACTCTGATTTTCCTTGGTCTCCCTGCCCAGCTATTTACATTCTGTGGGGCAGAAGGTTATGCTATTAAGTACTCTCTTCACTAATGGTATAACACATTTTATAATCCCTCATAATTTAAACCTGGTCCCTTAATTTCACCTACTTTCAACTCTGATGCAAGCTCCTTCCAAATTCCCTGTCTCTTCCGCAGTTATGAATCTAAACTTAGACCGTGTTATTTGCTTAATTAACAGGCTTATTAACAGGCCTCCAGGTGTTGGAGGGTGTGGACAATTTAAAAAAAGAATAAGATAATAAAACATTAGGACAAAAATCAATAAAACTGTAGTTGATCGCTTGAGGAAGTTTTCCTGAAATAAAAGTGTTTTCAGGTAGCATAATTGTTATTAATTTAAAGCAGTTTTGCTACATTGTCAAGATGAAAAACTCCTTGAGTGGTTTACATTTTTATTTATTATTTATTTACTTAAGATATTTGTATGCCGTCCTTTGCAAGAGCCCCTGTCTGGTGGTGGGCCTGTACATGAGATCAGTACCAAACAAAACAGCCTTGACACATCCCAAAAAGACATAGCACAAAAGGAAAGACGCATGGGGAGGGAAGAGAAAAGACTGTTCTCCATTATTTATTCAAGTTCTGTCTGAAGTCCTCCATCAGCATCTGTGGACAAGATGGCCTGCCCTCCTATCCGAGACGTAGCAACATCCCCCAAACGCGATCACAGCAAAAAGCACCTGCTTTTCATGCAGGTTGCAGGTGAAGCTGCACTATCTCCAGGTAAACATGATCAGCCAGGCTGAGCTGGGGAAAAGCTCACTGCCTTGCTCCTTACAGTAGCCTTCGCCAGGTTTGTGTCCCCCAGATGTATTTGGACCAGAACTCCCGGCATTCCCAGTCACTGATCATGCTGGCTGGGGCAGATGGGGGCTGAAGTCGCAAGAGCTGGAGGGCACAGCTATCCCCCAATCTGACCCCCACCTCCGATGTGTCAGCCAACAACTTCCATCATTCTCAACTAGGGCTGGAATGATGGGACATGTAGTTCGACACATCCGAAGCTGATTCAGACATGCAACGGGGGCGGATCCGTCCAGCTTAAGAAACTGGCAGGCTTCTAAAACGAGCCAAGGGAAGAAACTTTTCAGACATAGTGAAGGCAGGAAAGGAAAAACGCAGCCCTCCCAAAACAAGCAAGCAAGCAAGCAAGCGCTAAATAAATAAATAAATGCACCTCCAGGGAGGAGCCCCCCACTGCCCCCCCAACCCACTCACCATGCTGGCGGGGGCAGCGGCAGGAAAAGGGAAAGCGCTGCAAAAGTGGGCAAGGAGAAAAGAGGAAACGCGCCTGTGCCTGGTAATCTTGTAGCAAAAAGAGGGGGCGGGCCAATCACCCAGCCAATCACAAGCGCACCCTGAGACTTTATCGCCTAGGCAGCCAATGAGAACGTGCCCCTGCCCGCCCACTTTGCCTTTCTCTTTTCTGCTCCACGCCCGCTTCACCTGTTTCCGGTCTGCAGCCCCCTGCGGACGCGTTGCATGCTGGGGCTTGTAGTTTTCCTCCTCCAACTGCCCCACTGCTATGAGATCCAGACTTCGCCCGGAATGGTTGACTTCTCCTGCATAGGATGGGCCCAAAGAAGGCCAGCCTTAATTTTGCCGTTTTTGCATCCAGTGTTTTGCATCTGCTTGCTTGGATCCAGGACCCTTCAAGCTCCCTTCCAAGGACTTTGTTTCGAAGGCGTGAATTTTCTTTCTCTTGGCTTTCTTCACTCATAATGACTGGGGATACAGTTGTGTGGATGTCAAGCTTTGACACCCACACATTTAAAAAAACAGTGGGGGAAATGATGAGCCAGTTTATTAAAATCAGAGCAAAACAAATTTCCCTCTTTTAGTATTATTCTTGTTAATATGATTTTGTGAGTTGCAACATCCGGCAATTAGACATCTTGTGTCTTTGACCAACCCCAAAGTAACTGGCCTGTATAAGCAACCAACATTAATTTTTCAGACGCAACTGCTTCTATCAAACTTGCCAAATTAAACTGCAAAATTCAACCATTTCTCTCAACTGCTCTACAAACTTTTCTCCAGATCTTCTCTGAGATCTGTTTGATTCATCTAAACAATCACAAGGGAATCAATTTCTACAGACACAAATGTCATTGGAATAGGCCTTTAAGGATCAGGTCTTCATGTTTTTTACTGCATTAAAAAGATCTTCATTTTAAGTTTTTTTCAGATCCTGCCCCCCTCCCCCTGCCCCAGCTCTCTTTTGCTTGCTTGCTAGTTGTGAAGTTGTGCCCGACCCATCGCGACCCCATGGACAACCTTCCTCCAGGCCTTCCTGTCCTTCGCCATCCCCTGGAGTCCACCTAAGCTCACACCGACTGCCTCAGTGCCTCCATCCAGCCACCTCATCCTCTGGCTTCCCCCTTTGCCCTCCATCATCCCCAGCATCAGGGTCTTCTCCAGCGAGTCCTTCCTTCCCATTAGGTGGCCAAAGCACTTGAGTTTCATCTTCAGGATCTGGCCTTCTGAAGAGCAGTCAGGGTTGAGCTCCTCTAGGACTGACCGGTTTGATCGCCTTGCGGTCCAAGAGACTCACAGAGTCTCCTCCAGAACCACAATTCGAAGGCCTCAATCCTTTTGCACTCAGCCTTCCTTGTGGTCCAGCTTTCACAGCCATGCATTGCAACTGGGAAAACCATCGCCTTGACTATACGCACTTTTGTTGGCAGGGTGATGTCTCTGCTTTTAGTACGCTGTCTAGATTTGCCATAGCTTTCCTCCCAAGCAGCAAGTGTCTTTTAATTTCTTGGCTGGAGTCACCATCTGCGGGTATCTTGGAGCCCAAGAAACTAAAACCTGTCTCTCCCTACATTTCTTCCCCATCTATTTGCCAGGAAGGGATGGGACTGGATGCCACGATCTTCGTTTTCTTAATGCTGAGTTTCAAGCCAACTTTTGTGCTCTCCTCTTCCACTCCCATCACGACTCTCATTAGTTCCTCTTCGCTGTCTGCCATTGGAGTAGCTTTGTCATATAATTTCAGACCATCTGAAGTTGTTGACATTTCTCCCAGCAATCTTAATTCCCACTTGTGACTCATCTAGGCTAGCCTTTCTCATGATGTGCTCTATATATAAGTTAAGTAGGCAGGAGGCTAATATATACAGCCTTGCCATACTCCTTGCTCAATTTCAAACCAATTAGTATTAGTATAATTAGTAGAGTTAGTAGTAGTTCCCGCTGTTCCTTCTTGGTCTACAAATAGGTTTCTCAAGAGACATATAAGATGGTCAAGTACTCCCATCTCTTTAAGAACTTGCCACAATTTGTGATCCATACAATCCAAGGCTTTAGCATAGTCAATGAAGCAGAAGTAGATGCTTTTCTGGAACTCCCTGGCTTTCTCCATGATCCAGCGTATGTTGGCAATTTGACCTCTAGTTCCTCTCCCTCTTCGAAATCCTGCCCGTACTTCTGGTAGTGCTCGGTCCACATACTGCTGGAGCCCAGCTTGTAGGATTCTGAGCATCACTTTGCTAGCAGGTGAAATGAGTGCAGTGGTGCGGTAGTTCGAACATTCTTTGGCATTGCCCTTCTTTGGGATGGGAATGTAAACTGACCTTTTCCAAACCTGTGGCCTCTCTTGAGTTTTCCAAATTTCCTGGCATATTGATATTTCACCTAATTTCTCTGCAGTCTCAGAAAATTATATCATAAGCAGGTAAAATTTAGGAATCGGGAGTCCTTTTAGAAATCAAGTTTCATAAGATGTGTCAGGCTTACAGTGACTCAGCCACAGAGATCATATGTTCGGTGTTGACTTCTAGCACAGTAATGGCCCCAACAATCTATTTGGGTGTTCTTGGTTCCCATTGGACGACAGAGATGTAGGGTTGCCATGGGTACGCCTCTGGGTGATGAAAGACCCTTGCTATGCTTCTCCACCGGGGGGTGCTGCAACCCTTTTTTTGCCCTGAAGTTTAGAGCACAAGGAACAACTTTTTCCAAAAAAAAGTGTGTAGGAGAAACATGTTGACTTGTATTTGGGTCCTGCTTAGGTTTGTTGGTCTTTTTTCTCTCTAAGCATTGACATTTCAATGGCCCTTGGATTTGCAAAAGGATTTTTTTCTGTTCACATGCATTTTAAAATAATATTGTTAGCAAATGCAATGCAGTTGTTTTCTCACATTGCTGGTTAGCGCTGGAAGGAAAAATAACACCATCTGTAACGGAGCAGGTGCCAAAAACCTCTAAGAATTATCAGCTATAATTCTGTGTGGAAAGCAGCTGCAACAGGAATACTTCTGTTCATCCTTCTCTCATAAAATTCAAATGTAGGATCAACTCATAAAATTTATTCAACAGCCGATTCAGCACTGGCATAAAAAGGGGAATGTATAATACATTAAAGTCAGGGATGGGCAATTTCTGGTGGTTTTGGACCCTGCATTGCTCACCAAGAAAGCACTGATTCCCTGCAAATTGCAGATGAGTTTGTCCCAGTGGTGGAAAAATAAATGAAGGAGAAAAGCAGCTGTTTGGAAGAACAGAAAGAGGCTCCAAGGACATACACCCTGTGTGTGAGAGGGAGGCCTTATGCTTCCTGAGCAGAGCAAAGCTGCCTTCCCCTATTCTGTCCTGCCGGTTGCAGTGGTGCTTGTGCCCCTGTGGGCCGTTCAAAAGAAAATGGGTATTTCTGGAACAAAGCAGGGAGCCTTGAGAAACTCGCTTGCTCCTAGACGGTGTCGGATCTTCATTTCATACTGGACAAAACGTAGAAGATGGATGAGCTGTGCCCATTCCATCTCCCCTGCCTTGACTACTCACTGCCCAGAAAGCCCCCCCCCCCCACACACACACCTTTTCACCTTGGCTCACACCAGCCTCTGCCCTGCTGCTGTCTTCTTCACAGGATAGGCACCAAGCGGAGGAGAGGAAGAGTTTAAATGCCCCTAGAAGATCCCTTTGTTTGCAGAAATCACGCCTTTGGTCCCAGCTCCAATGGCCAGCAAAAGGATCTCAACTGAAGGAAATCAGGATTAGGCCAGAGATGCAGCAGCAGCAACAACTGTGTGCAATTTACCGCAAAGTACCAAAATTGGAGCTCAGCCTTCCCAACCCGCACCAGGATAATAAACCAATGGGATACACTGGGACTTTATTTATGCTCAAATGCCTGGCTCTGTGTGCATGTCAGTAAAGAAGAAGAAAAAACATGATTACCACAGTCTTTGGGTTTGGGATTCTCTCGTTCTAAGAGCTTGTTTTCTGAACCTGGCTCCAGCTGGAGAATCCTAGCTGAAAACAGGTCCTTGCAAGACCAGCGGTTTGACCATTCTGCATATGGTCAATTATGCTTTAGGGTTGGATGGAGAAGGGGCTCTTTAGGTTGGTGGTGTTGAACCCCTGGTGCGTGCATCCCTTCCAAGACGCCGCCCCTCATTGTCCAGGCCAGGTCCCTTTCACAGCAGATCTTGTGTCCGCTCATTTTTACACACTGCTCTGTGCGTTTGAACCTGGGATTCGCTGGTCCTTTAAGGAAGCAGCCCTGTTTGGTGGCAGGAAGTTCTCCCACAGTCCCTGTAGGCCCCACGACCTTTGGCTGTGTGACTACGACTCCCATCCTGGAGGGCTGCCGTGGAGGGACACAGAATCCTGGAACTGATGCGCTGCAGTCGTCGCTCCGCTAGAGCGAGGCCCGTGCCGGGGCGTCCGTGGCCCTCGAGGCCGGGCGTGCGCCCTGGGCGCGCCCCGCGTCGGGCTCCCCTCGGCGCTCCGGCAGCCGGCGGGACGCGGGCTCCGTGCGCCTTCCCGCCGCTGTGCCGCACCGGCGCTTTCTTCCCCCGGGCCTGGGGGCTGGCACTGCCACCCCCCCTGCAGAGGGGGCCGCCCTGCCGTCCGCAGCCGCCCGCCGCGCTTCCGGAGGCGCCCGGGCAGCGGGGCCACGTCGCCATGCGCGGTGGCCGCGCCGTCGGGGCGCGCTCGGTGTGTGGCTGCGCGCAGCGCTTAGCGTGACAAAGCGCGGGGCCTGGGAACCGGCTGCTCCCGGGCCTCTCTGTGAATGGGACCCGGGCTGGGCTTTGCACGACAAACCGGGGGGGGGGGGCGCGGCGCACTTCCCTCCCGCCCTTCGGAGGGCTCCCTCCACACGTAATCCTGGGTCAGGCGGGCGGGCCAGTTTAGTTTTGGAAAGCGCCCAGACACGGGCCTCTGGGGGGCAGGGCGCAGTCCGGGGCGGGGGAGGGGGGGATATAGGGTGAGCGGGAGGGCTGTCCCGAAGAAGCCACACGAGGAAGCCCAACACAAACCAAGCCCCGCGCCT